GGAGGGGGAAGAGTCCACCGTGATTTTTCTAATCCAAACTTAGCGCTGGAATCTAAATACATTGCTGTCGTGATGGGGAAAAAAAAAAAAAACCAAACAAAGTGTAAATATTTAAACATTATTTGAATCCATCTAAGGTTGGCTTTAGTGGCATGGGATAGGAAAATTTCTTCTGAGGTGTCTTCCATGTTATTCATTTGTACCAAGGATTCTGGCTTAAGCAGACCCAGTCTGGTTTTGAGGAGAGACTGTGTTGGATGGGCCTGGGCTGAGGGTGTCAGAGGGGTTTAAATGGCTGCATTGCCTTGACAGGCTGCAGCACTCCATCCATCCACAGCCAGACTCTTTGGGGGGCCAGGCCAGGGTGGAAGCCTTTAATCTTTTGATTATGATAAATAACCCCATGTTAAACCTGTACATCAATGGTTTATAAATCACCCGTGCTGCTGGTGCATGAGCAGATTGCAGACCTGGCAGTGTGATTGCAAGGCTTGTGTCAGAGAGACCCTGGGCAGCTTTGCTGTGCTTCTAAGGGGAGAAACAGTCAGTGGCATTTGCTGCAAATCTTTATCTGAATTTTGGGATAAAATGTGCCAAGCTGCCCCTGTGCCAGCAGCAGGAGCCTGGGATGAGCCTCCAGCAGCACTTGGGTGCGTGGTGCTGGGATGCTTTCAAGGCCTCACTCCCAGGACTCATTAGTTACACTGCAAATGGCTCCATTCTGTCCTCCATCATGCCCCTGTGAGGCTGTGGCTGCCAGAACCCAGCAGTGACACTGCAAATGGCTCCATTCTGTCCTCTGCCGTGCCCCTGTGGGCTGTGGCTGCCAGAACCCAGCAGTGACACTGCCTCTCTCCATCCCCATCCCTCTGCAGAGCCGTTCCTCTCGCTGCTGCTGGTGCTGACAGAGATAGATTTCTCCCTGGACCTGCAGGTGCAGTGGTGAATCAGTGGGGTGGTGACCAGCACAGGGCTGCCAGCGTGGGGCCCTGGCCCCTTCCCTGACACTCCTTTGTTTGCAGAATTGCAGCTTCTTGGACGAGAGCTGGCTGCTGCCGGTGAGAGCCCATGGGGAGCCGTCCTTCCGCCACCTGGCCCTCCCTGAAAAGTCAAAGGAGGAAGATAAGGAGCAGTTTGGTGGGGAGGGATTGCCACACACCCCGGGGTGAATTGGCTCAGGCTCACCAGGATGAGCAGAGCTGCCTCTGCTATTGAGGTTGGATCCTGCTGGGTACCTGCAGCATCACCAGGAGCAGATTCTGGCATTCCCGGGAGTAAAACCAAGCAAGGGAAGCACCCAGGCCTGAATCTCTGATATAAGTGATGTTTTCCCATGCTCTCCTCCCTGATTGCCAAAAAAATCCCCATTTCCCTGGGCTGACACAGATTATGCATCAGTTGGTTTGCTCAGTGAAACATCAGTGTGTTACTGAGAACAGCGGGGACGCCCTCATGTCTTTTAACAATGCAAAGCATCCCTCCACCACCTTTTAAACCTAAAAGAATCCCCAAAGAGCTCGAGGCGGCTCTGGGACCGGCCAAAGCGTGCACTGAGCCGTGGTGGTGCTGCAGAGCCCGGGATGCCGCCGGCTTTGGGGCATTTCTGGCAGGCAGTGCCGGCTCAGCCCGGCTAATGCGATGTGACACTGAGTGCTCTGCGCACAGCAGCGCCTCTGGGGACGGACAGCTGCGTCCCCCGGCTGCGTGGGGACACGTGGGGTGAGCCAGGAGGGCTCTTCAGTGAGTTAAGGCCTTGCTGTTGCTTTGCCATCCCACCCATGGAGCAGCTTTGTCCCTTCAGGGTGTGGGCACAGCCGGATCCTGAGAGAGGACAGAGACAAGCAGACACTGATGGTTCCAGCTCAGCCTGGGGAGCTGGGATTTGCCTCTCCCTGGGCTCCCAAAGCCCCGGGTTGGCATCAGTTCTAGAAATTATCCAGGGCATGGGGTCCCTTGGATGTCCCTTGGTCATTGCCACTGTCAGCATCACTCTCTTTCAGGTGTGCAGTATTTATGAGACAGCCCCGTGCCGAGCACTGGGGATGGTGCTCAGGTAGGAACTCTTGATCCTCCCCTCCCCTCAGCAGAGGGATCTGGTCAGCACAGCCCTGAAAATGCCCCAAAAAGGGAAATAAATATCCAGCTTAGAGCATTGGGGCTGTCTCGGGTGCTTTTCTCCCCATCAGCTCAGCCTTGCCAGTATCTGCTGTCCATGGGGTGGCTTTTCCCTGCATTCAGTGTATGGGTGATGGCACAAAAGGGGAGCCGGGCAGGGTCTCTGGGGCTGAGCTGGGGCTCGGCTGCACCCCCAGGTACGTGGATGGCAGAGTCTTTGTCACCGAGGTGCTCCCCGAGAGCCAGGCAGAGCTGGACGAGGTGGCGCTGGCCGGTGACATCCTGGATGAGATCAACGGCTGCTGCCTGAGATCCGCCTCCCCCGGGCAGGTGGGTGGGGACAGAGGGGACACAGGGGACACAGGCCTGGGCTGTCCCCTCTGCTGCCCCTGCTCCCTCCTCGCTGCAGGCTGGGGCTGCCCTGCAGAGGCTGAAGGGAGAACCGCTGGCCCTGCGCCTGCTGCGGTGGCGCTGGCACGACGGGAGCGTCTTTGAGCCCCTGCTGCCCTACCTGGAGGCCCTGAAGGAGAAGGAGCCGCAGTTCCAGCTGCAGCACAGCCCCCGGCACAGGGGCCAGGGGCAGCCCCGGCAGCTGCAGGGGGGCAGGTGGGTCTGTGCCAAGGGCTGTGCCCACAGCACCCCTGAGCTCTGCTCCAGGCTGTGGGGCCAAGGCTGCCCCCATGGCCTGGAGATGAGGACAGGGCTGGGAGCATCTTCCCCTGCAAAGAGCAGCAGGGGGGATGTGGGGGGTCCTCCCTCTGATGCCCCCGAGCCCTTTGCTCCCCAGGCTGCTCTACAAGCTGCGGTTCCTGGGCCAGACCAGCGTTGGGACGGTGAGGCTGTGGGGCAGAGACCTGCCAGGGGGTGAATCATCCCTTTGGAGTTGTCTTCATGTCTCCAAGGGTTATTCCCCCCTTCCCATTCCATTTCAGTATGGTGGCAAAGAGGTGCTGGAGGGGGCCATTCCTGCTGTGCTGGAGAGGAACTTGGCACCACGGGTGAGCAGCAGGGCTGGGGACATCCTGGGGAGGGCTCTGAGAGACAATGCAGGCCATGGATATTTTTCCAATGCAGGCCATGGATATTTTTCCAATGCAGGCCATGGATATTTTTTCCAATGCAGGCCATGGGTATTTTTTCCAGCTCCAGGTTCACTTGGCTTGGCTGAATATTTGCCACCCCATCAACCCCTGTGGGGTTTTTTCAGGTCAGAAGCATCTCAGCAGCCAGGATAGGAAAGGGCATTAAGGAAAAATGCAGCCACATGCAGGAAAGAGCTTGGAAAACTCTGGGAAGGCTAAGCCTGGTTCCAGGGGTGCTTTAGGGCTCAGGTCGCTGTTGTTTGAGCCTCTGGGAGTTGTTTTTGAAAAGATTGAAGTGTGGAAGCACTGGGTGGTGTAGGAAAAGAAGCAGCAGAGAGAAAACTTGAAAAAGCTGAGGCTGACTGTGCTTCATCACCTCTGCATTTGGATAATCTCTGGTGAGTGTCTGATTAAAAACAGAGCTCAGGGCTGTGCTGATCAGGGCTTCTTCCCCCTCATCCCCCTGCAGGAGGTTTTATTTGATGTGAAGGAGGCAGAAGTCCTTGTGCAGGAAAAGGCTTCCTCCAAGGTGAGTGAGTGACATCCAAGCTCTGGGAATCTGGTGGCACGGGGAGCCCAGCTGGGGGCAGAATAAACCAGGAACGGGGCTGGCAGGGCCTGACCAGATCCCCAACAGCCCCTCCCTGTCCCTGCACAGCTCCTCTCCTGCCATCCCAACCCCTCCTTGTCCATGCACAGCCCCTGTGCCACCTCCCTGTCCCTGCTCAGCCCCTGTGCCACCATCAACCCCTCCACATCCTGCACAGCTCCTGTCCCCCCATCCCTGTCCCTGCTCAGCTCCTGTGCCACCTCCCTGTCCCTGCACAGCTCCTGTCCTGCCATCCCTGTGCAGTGCCCAGCTCCTGTGCCACCATCCCTACCAATCTCTTGTACCCTGCTCAGCTCCTGTGTCCCCGTCCCTACCCCCCCATATCTTGCACAACTCCTGTGTCCCCATCCCTGCCCCTCTCTGTCCCTGCACAGCTCCTGTCCTACCATCCCTGTGCCGTGCCCAGCTCCTGTGCCACCATCCCAACACCCCCCTGTCCCTGCACAGCTCCTGTGTCCCCATCCCTGCCCATCCCTGTCCCTCACAGCTCCTGTGCCACCATCCCTGTCCCTGCTGAGCTCCTGTGCCCCCATCCCTACCCCCCCATATCCTGCACAGCTCCTGTGTCCCCATCCCTGTGCCGTGCCCAGCTCGTGTCCCCATCCCTGCCCATCCCTGTCCCTGCACAGCTCCTGTGCCCCCATTCCTGTCCCTGCCCAGCTCCTGTGCCCCCATCCCTACCCCTCCATCTCCTGCCCAGCTCCTGTGCCCCCATCCCTGTCCCTGCCCAGCTCCTGTGTCCCCATCCCTGCCCCTTCCTGTCCCTCACAGCTCCTGTGCCGCCATCCCTACCCCTCCATCTCCTGCGTGGGACGCTGCTCGTGGAGCCCCAGGATCTTTGCCTTGTGTGTGCTGTGAGTGCTGCCCGTGGGTCCTGGCAGGGCACAGAGGGCTGTGGCTCTGGGATGGGGCTCTGGGAAGCCTCAGAGCAGCCACAGGGTCCTGCTGCGGCGGGAGGCAGGGCTGGGCTCGGAGCTGCCTGGATCATGGACGTGTTTCCATTTTTAGCTCTTCCCCTGAGAGCCCTGACGGGAGCACGTTCCACTGCCTGGTGTTTGCATCCAGCTCTGAGCAGGAATGCGAGGAAATCATCGAGAGAATCGGTAAGGGAAGGGTTTAAGGCTTCAGCTGCCATCAGTCACATCGTGGAATAGCAGGAATTCTGTTCCGCAAGCAGGATCTGACTTAATTCCTTTCATTGAGGTTACCAAGATGAAAAGATATTTTGATATTTTTCTGGTGTGGGGTTTTTTTATAAAGGACCACTTGACAATGATTTTATTTTAAGAAACAGCTTCTAGGCATACCCAGCTGCTTCATTGTTTCCAGTAAGGATTTGGAGGAAATACTGTTTTCAAGGCATGTTATTTTAAACATACTTTTCTTGCAGGAGCTGAGGCTGCTACTGTAGCTCAGCACCAAACCAAGCAAAAATCCTATGACTTGGAATCTTTCATTTTTAATTGTCCTCAATGCAAGCTGTGTGGTTCTTCCTGAATTACCTGGGCCACTGAGGATCCTTAGATTTCCCATGGGGACATTCCTGGCAGGCAGAGGCCCTGGAGAGCCCTGCCCAGGTGATTGACCTGAGATCACTGAGCCTTACTTGGTACTTTGTGTCTAAGTTGTGAACCTCATTACTTTGTAGCAAAGGAATCTTTTCCCCTACAGCTGTAGCAAGAATAGGAAATACATGTATAAAACGTATCATTTCAGAACAGGATTGTGGCAGGACTCTGCTGAGCCAGGGGCTGGGTTTGCTCGGAGCAGTGTAGGACAGGGAGGTGAGGAGGAGGAGGAGGAGGAAGAGGCTGTGTGAGAGGGTGGTGAGGAGTTCCTGTTCCTCTAGCTGCAGGATTCAAGCACACAGAGTGGTTTGTCTGAGGAAGAAGAGCACCATGAGGCACCACTGGCCCAGCAGCAGCAGCTGAGGGACACAGGCCCTGCCTCCCACAGCGAGTTGGGATGGATTTCATCCTCTTCCTCACCATCCTGGGTGGGAGATCACGGGTACTGGAACCTGGCGGGGACTGCTGCTACTCTTGCCCCAGAACTGCCCAATTTCCACTGGAATAAATCAAGCCAGGCCGGCTCAACCACTTCCCTGTGCAGCTTTGTGTGACAGCCCCAGCCAGACTGGCAGAGCCGGTTCTGGCAGGGCTCAGCAGCCTTGCCCCTCCAAGCTCTGTAATTACCTCTGAGCACTTTTCTCCACCACAGCCCAGCAGCTGAGGAACCCAGAGCTGCCTTGGCCCAGCCTGAAGTAAAGAGTTGAGTTCAGTCACATTCCATCCAAAAATGTGGATGGGAAATGAGAATCCCATGGAGCCCCCACCCCATCTGCTCCCTGTGCAGAGCCAGGACTGGCACAGCCCAATCCCAAGGGAATGCTCCCCACACTGCTCAGGAACAGCCAGGTGGTTTTGCTTCAGCCAGACCAGTCACAAATCCAAAATAAACTTTCCCTGCATCCACTAGAAAGGAAGAAAGAACTGAGCTTGTGCCCTGATCAGAGAAAAGTCCCCCAAAAAACCACTGCAGCCTCAGCCAGTTGTCCTGGACCCTACACAGCTGTAGGGCACCACAGCAGGGACTCAAGCTGCACAAAATCTCCAAAATACTCCAAAAGTTCTCCATTCTGGTGCCAGTAGAAGTTTAGTTGCCACAGCAGCAGCCCAGGATTACAGCAATCTGTAGGAGGCAGAAGCTTCTTCAAGCCCAAACCAAATGACAAAGACTCCTCACATGTGAATGTAAAACATTTAATTTAAAAATGTTGACACTACAATATATAAAATAGCTATTATAAATGCACATAGTGTATTCTATAGCTGCCAGGTTTACGTTTTTAGGAAACTGTAAGTTACACTGTGGTTAAGACTTGAAGTTTCACCCTCTGAAGGAAGTCCACATTTGATCACAGTGATGCATGGTCAGACTAACAGCCCCAATTGTTAAACACTTGGATCAAGTCATAACCAGTTTTATTGCAAAAGGACCCTGTACACATTTATATCAATTCTAGTACCTTACAAGTTTATCTACCCAACAAGTCATTAACATACAGAAACATGCATGAGAAGCAAGAAAGAACACCCATCCCTTCTGCATATTAGCAACTTGTCACTCCCGAGCCCGAGGCTCAACATCACTGAGGTTTATGTGAACAGTCACTTTTAGCATTCATCCTGAGTGAAAGATGGAATGACTTAAGTACAAATGCAACATATTATAAACAATTTCTTACAAAAAAAGTCACAAATTAAAACCAAAGTATTTTACAGAATTAACTACAAAACACCATAAAAACAGCCTTCACTTAAGCCCTCTCTCCCCGTATCCTGCGAGCCAACTGGATATCTTTGGGCATGATGGTGACTCTCTTGGCATGGATGGCACACAGGTTTGTGTCTTCAAACAGACCCACCAGATATGCCTCGCTGGCCTCCTGTTTCAAGAGCACAAGAAACGTTGTTAAAAACCCTCAGCGCAGCTCCCCCGGCACCGCAGCCCAGCCGGCCCTCGGCAGTACCTGCAGAGCACCGATGGCCGCACTCTGGAACCTCAAATCTGTTTTGAAATCTTGGGCGATTTCCCTGACCAGCCGCTGGAAGGGCAGCTTGCGGATCAGCAGCTCCGTGGATTTCTGATAACGACG